TGACAATTAAAATGATTGCTGGTAGATAATATATATAAATGGTATACATTCTGCAATCAAGTCTTAAACCAAAACTAAGAACGTTACCAAGGAAACTGGTGCTAATATTTTTGCATAGATATATAACTTCAGCCTGTAATGCACCATTTGATTCGTTAAATTTTACTTTAAAACATAAAACCTGTATTGAATTCGTACAATATGACCAACATCAAAAAATCTATCAATCATCTAGATGTTGCTTTTTAAGGAATGTTTTTAAGTTTTGTGTGAGTTATTGGTGTGTAAATCACACAGACTTGCCACGTAGGCATATTTCATGAAGCGCGCTAGCGAAGCGGATTATAAAACAGCGTAAACTGACCCAAACCAGGTTATACTCGAATAATTTGGCCAAGAATTAGAGTCATTCCTTATAATTTAATTTTAAAATCATTAAATAACTATGAGACTAAAATTTCGTTGCTTTTTATTAGTTCAAATTTGCCGCTCAATAATACAACCATAGTAACGGAAGTAACGGAAGTGATGGGAAGCGAGGGGAGGTAAAAATTGATACATAGGCCTAGCAGCCTTGTTGTTTGTTTACATGTGGTAAGATCGAATTATTGTTTGAAGTTAAAGGTACATTTATTGAATCTGGAATTTCCCATGAATCCCGAGGACTGGAAATGAGAGGATTGTATGGATACAGATGATTCAGCTGGTTGTCAGGGGTGTGTGTCCCCATACCAAACCAGGTTATACAGAAATAATTTGTGTTCCTTTTTGGATATTAACCAATCAGAGGCTAGAATACAAACAAAATTAAATTATATTGTGTATATTCCCTCGGAAAACTTCGGGAATATACACCATTTCAACTCATTTGATAAAATACTGTACCAAATATTTTCTTAACCCACAGATCACTTAGCTGTAAGCGTCATTTCATATATTAGCTCCTTATCTATAAGCATGTTTTTTTCTGTATTCCTTGTATAACTTTGATCATTATTGTGGCTCCACACTACCCCTAAGTGTAATGATTTAAACGATAAAAAGATGCTTGAGCTATCTGCTCTGCTGAGCAAAAATGGACCAAAGAAACTCGAAACCTGATTTGTAAGTCAACAATATCAAGAGACATACGAAAGTCATATCAGCTCATTATCTACCGGTCTTGTAGAGTAGGATTTCCCCTCTACAGTCTCCCCCTTCCCCGGAAAACTGGCTCAAGAGTAGGATTCCACCCCCCAGACAATAGACTCTAGAGTAGGATTCCCCCCCACAGAAATCCCACATCAGATTTAATTTCCGGTATAAACATAGGAAAAAAAGTACAGAAAATTTACTATGCAAAAATGTGAACATTCATTTTATAAAATACTTTAATTAAAAAAAAATGAATTTATTTCTTTCATGAAATAATAATTAACGAAGTGCAGTAATATTTTTTTTTCAAAACTTGAAAACCCGTGCTTGTATATTTCTTTTTTTTTTTTAATTTAGAAAGATCAATGAGCTCTGAATGAAAATGGAGAAAAAAAACTGAAATGATATAAACAAGAGGCCAGTAGGCCACATTGCTCACCTGAGCACTGTGGCTAGGGAAAAAAAATCAGTTCAGTATTGAAAAGCTTTAACGCATAAGTGGTCCCAACCTTCCCCTAAAAAGGGGAGGGGGGCTATGATTTGAACAAAATTGAATATACACTAACTAAAGATACTTTCATATTTCTTTGACTTTTTTCACTACAAGTTTGAACTTTCATTATGGTCCCACCCTATCCCCGGGGGTCATAATTTGAACAAAATCTGAATCTACAGTATCTGAGGAAGCTTCCATATAAATATGACTAACCATAGTTTTGCTTTTCTTGAGAACAAGATTTTTTTTAAAAAAATGTCCTATGTATTCCTATGCATAACTTAAATCATCAATTGTGACCCTACATATCCCCAGGGGATATTTATATATACCAGGGGGTCATGATTTTTATCAAATATGAATCTACACTACCTTAGGATACTTCCTAATAGTTAATAACCAAACATGGCTTTGCTGTTCTTGAGAAGATTTTTCCTATATATATTTCTATGTAAAATTTTGGTCGTCCATTGTGGCCCCACCCTACCCTCGGGGGTCATGATTTTAACAACCTTGAATCTACACCACCTAAGGATGCTTCCATATAAATATGACTAATTATGGCTTTGCTGTTCTTAAGAAGATTTTTAATTTTTTTCCTATATATTCCTATGTAGACCTTTGATCGTCCACCCTACCCCCGGGGGTCTTGATTTGAACAAACTTGAATCTACACCACCTGAGGATGCTTCCATATAAATATGACCAATTATGGCTTTGCTGTTCTTGAGAAGATGATGTTTAAAGATTTTTCCTATATATTCCTATGTATAACATTGATCGTCCATTGTTGCCCCACCGTACTGATTTTAACAAATTTGAATCTACACTACCTGAGGATGATTCCACCTGTGTTTCATCTTTCCTGGCCCAGTGGTTCTTGAGAAGAAGATTTTTAAAAGATGCCATCAATTTTTCACTTATTTGTAATTATTTCCCCTTGGAAGAGAGCGTGGCCCTTCATTTGAACAAACTTGAATCCCCTTATCCAAGGATACTCTGTGCCAAGTTTGGTTGAAATTGGTCCAGTAGTTCTGGAGAAGATGAAATTGTAAAATGTTTACAACGGCCACGACAGATAACGGTTAAATTTCGATCAGAAAGCTCACTTGAACCTTCCGCTCAGGTGAGCTACAAATGTTTATAACCGTTACCATGGTAACATTCTTAGTTTGAATTTTAAAATCTTGATTGAAAATGTACATGTATATATTTATGTGTATTTTGTACCAGCAATGATTTTGCATAACAATGTCCTGTAATCTTGATTCTGATTTTGCATAACAATGTCCTGTAATCTTGATTCTGAGTGTCAAAACAATTGAAATTCCTACAGAGAATGACTCTTAACTCTACATAGGTTATTTTGGTTGCTATGTGCTCAGAATCGTTGCCATGGGAAAATCAAGTGAAAAATAGAATTTTATAAGATACTAATTGCATTGTAAAACTTGCCTAATCACAATTTTACAGCATGCTTTGAAAAATCCTTTACAACAGGTACGTGAACATGTTAAAAGTATTATTCTATGATGTGTTGCTAAGGGAAAATTGCTGTTACCATGGAGATTACAAATTGTAAAACATTCCATAGTTTGCAGAGAGGTCTCAAAAAGTTAAATTTATTGTAAAATTTGTTTTGAGTATTCAAAGATAACAAGTTATGTGATTTATGACTTTAGCATGTTACATTTTTTCTCTTTTTATTCATCAAAACATCCATTTTTGTTGCTAGGCAATGGATAGGAATGTTAAAAAATTATACGCTTCTGAATTCAAATTCTAAAAGACAAAATCCTCTGCTTTTATGTTATATGCACAGGATGTCTGTATAAGGTCCATCACTGGAGTAATTAGGCATCGAATAATTCCAAAATCAAGGAAAATGCTGAGTCAGCAAAAAAAGGAAAAACATGCATATATTCCCACATCTATCACAGATATATCTTTAAATCTTATTTCTATATTTTTGATTGTGAAAACTGTTAAGATCATTATCTTGAGAATAACAGCAATGAAAAAGAAATTCTTTAAGTATTTACATTTAATTTGAGCCTGAAAGATAAGAGATTTTTTAGTCCATCGAAGCTGGAAGTTAGCTGGTTGCTAGGGAAATATCTCTACCCATGTTTCCATGGTAACCGTAAATCAAAACATTTTTCCTTTTGCATACATGGTTCATAGGGCGAAAGAAAACTGTGTGTGGAAAATCATCAAATTCTGAGAACCCTCATATATCACCCTTTGCATTAATTTTTACACAGAACTGTACTTAATTATCTCCTTTTGCAAGAGGGTGTGGTCCTTCTAACGAACAAATCTAAATACCCTTCACCCAAAGGATGCTTTGCAAGTTTGGTTAAAATTATATGTTTTTAAGAACCACTGAAAAGAATCGTTACATAGCAAGGTATCTTTAGTTATCAGGCTGAAACTAGGATTATTTTTGTTTGGTTGTTGGTCGTTTAACATACCACTCGAGAATTTTTCACTCATATGGAGACGCCACCACTTGCCGAAAATTATCTATCTCATCCAAAGGAAAGGTCTCCATATCTCGCAGTGGGATTTGAACCTGCATTGTAAAGATCAGCTCCTTACACCCCGACTCTAGAGCAAACGCTCTAACAGCTGTGCCATGTTGGCAACAGGATTATTAGATTTACGAACAAAATTGTTAACTGTAGTTTTGATCGTAAACTGTAGTTAACAGTCGTGATATATAGTTTCACATAAAATCGTGCATCTTTGAAACAAAATCAGAGATTCTGTCATTAAACTGTGTTTCTCAAATGTAAAACTATGTTTACACATTTTTTTGAATGCAGCACCTTAAATATTTGTAAACTATTGTTTACAACCATACACTTTAATTATAATTTGCTAACTAAAGTTTAATAATAGAAACTATAGTTTACAAATTGTGAAATTGTATTTATCAGATAAACTATGCTTTGTAGTGGCAAGTGATTGTTTCAGTGTAAAGTTTACACTTGTGTCAACTATGGCTTAGAGATGTATGTGAAATATAGATTAGTCCCATTAACTTTAATTTAACTGCAAACTATAATTTACAGTCCATAAACCAAGTTTATCAACTGTGAACCCATGTTGAGCTTATTTTTGTGAATCTGGCATGATTTGAGAGTCCTTCATAACAATATTATACAGACCTTTCTCATGACATTACCGAAAAAAATAATATTCTTAAGAAAAAAAACTATGAATTGTATCTATTTGACGTTACAATGCATCTAGCTTAGAATCTTTATATGTATTTTTTTTTTTTTTTAAAAAAACTTTATTTGTAATGGTGTTGTGTACTGAAAATTCAAATGATGTGACTCAACACCAAATAAGAATAATGATGACAAGTTCATGTTATTTATTGTCATATACAAAAAGTCAGATTTTCTTCTCATACAGCAACAAGCTTTTTCACAATACTGACTTGCCTATAAAATTCTGTGTAGACAGCACAAATATAATGGGTTTTTTCCCCTTAATAAGTATTTGTATCCTTTTCAATAATTCCCATAATACACTACAGCATATAGTTGCTCTTGGTAAAAAAATTCACATAATATAATTTCCCTCTATTAACTTTTCTGAGAATGTATTTTTTTCTAGATCCATTTATATTCATCTTTGTAACCATTCATTATAAATAACTGATAAACTTTAAATAAGAATTTCTGTCAAGAGAAGTGCAACTGCAAAACGTAATTATTCAATAAAAGCTCATGAGGCTTTAATTGTAAGCAGTAAGTGTGAGAAAATGCACCACAGTTTTGGACATACTGGTACCTTACAGTACTGCTATATAAATATACCCTCTTTTGATACCAGCTTGATGTAATTTCAATCAAACCTTAAATACCAAAAGAATTCAAATCTGAAATGTATAATTTTTTTCTGGCTTGTGTTGTGTAAGACTTAAACCTTAAGACAAAAAAGATATTTGCCAGTCTACTAAAAATAATGTTTTTCTACATCAGAGGGGAATGGTTCAAGATACCAAAACTATCAGTTCAAATCTTAATATCTGTCTAATTTCTCTTTACTACACATAACTTTGAGCATGTTTAAAATATTCAGTGAGTGATCAAAAGATAAACTGCAATATGCTTCAGCATTGTCTCCAGAGTGATGATTTTAGAAGAACAAAAGGTATACATACAGTAAGAACCCATCACTAAGTACAGCATCAACACACTCCTGGGTAACATTTAAAATACTCACACTCAAAAATGATCAAATCCATATCACATATTTATAATGCGTATATTAAATAATCAGTATGACTAGATGATTAATGGTATACACAATAAATGTATCACTAACTTATTGCTTGAATACGAGTTAAATATACAATTTTTCTTTTAATATACTAACTACAATAAATTTTCCTTTGATGACAGTTTATAATAATTGTACTTTACATAAAATTATCAGTTGGAGCAATCTAAAAAAAATAAATTTTCAAAGAATGGAAACTTCATAATTTACTGCTTTAAACTTTTTTTTTGTTAGAATTATTGTGGTATTTTTCTTATACAAATTTTAACCTTTCCAAACCTTCTGGTCTTTTCCAAACCCACCTCTGAGAGGGCAACATATTACTTGCACACATAAAACAAGACAGTGTTTGAAACTCATTAATAACCTTCTTATTGAATATTCAAACTGAGTCATAATTTAAGGAAATCTTGACAGCACTCAAGTCAATGCCCCTAATTCAAATAAGCTGCTACTCAGCAGAACATAAAAATGTTATATTGATATTAACGAGATCTACCACAAGCAGTTGTACAATGTTTATGCATGGCCCAATGTCACATAACAACAAGGGTGGATTTCAAATAAACATGACATTACATGAAATATCAAAACAAACAGAGATATTGGAGAAATACATAATTTAGTACACTGTAAAATGAAACAGAACACACATACAGTAAAGTTAAAATCACCATATCACTTCATCTCTTTCTTGTTATTGCACAGCAACATACAGCAACATACAATGCCAATGTTAAAATATCACATACAATTCTCCAATGATTTCAAGTGAGTTACACAACAAATTCACACTGCAGTTCATGAGATTCTTGTTACAATTAAGTTGTGAAAAAAGAAATACCTTTCACTTTTCTCTATCAATACACACCATACTCAAGAGTATTTCACCTCTAATTTGATTTTACTTGTCAAAAAGATGAATGCAAATGATTTTCCACATGAAAAATATAGTAAAAGCAGCCAAAAAAGTCATTAAAGCTGTCAACCTTATTTAGAACAATTTAATACTTTTTAAACTTGATCAACCTGCAGAATCAAAGGAATGTTATGAGCTATAAATAGCACAAACTGAGCTGGAATAATATGGAAATGTAGCTGATGGATGATAGACCATTAAGTGCCTCTGCTATAGATAATGAGGTGTTTCTTGACCCGTCAGTAATCGATATATGGAGGTGGGCATTGTTTTCATGTGAATCTGTAAATAAAAAAATAAAATAATGAGCATTATTTCTTATCTTTTACTTTAAAAGTAGTCACAAGACTGCCATAAATTCATTTTTTTTATTCATGTAGATAAATTGATGAAGTTTTTGTGTATGTAAGGAAAATGAATTCAATGCATTGACAGTTATCAACACAGTTTGTCATCCTCCAGTGTAATCCAAAATCTCTGTTCTATAATGTACATGCATATTGCTAGATCCAACAAAATTCAATGCCTCTAGTAGTGAGTGGCTTTGTTTGTACCAGATAGAGGATGTCATTTTCTGACAGAGATTATCCCTGTCATCAACTGATTACATGTATCTGTGATGAAGAAATCTCCACTAATGAAAGACCTTCTACAGCTCCCTCTTCTATTCAGTAAATTTAATTGATTAAAAAAAGTACAAGAGCTGCTCATACTTCAAAGACTCAAGGATGTCATATTAGAGATTTTTCCTGTGAGGGATGTATGAAATATATTGAATAACTTCACTTCATTATTGCTGCACAAAGTCTTTTATGGGGTCATATTTCACCTTTTAGAGAATGTTTAAGGAAAATTCTTGCATTTAATGAAATTGAAAGTTACAGATTTACTACCCAGTATTGCAAATCAATATACATGTAAATGACAATGACAAATCCCATATGCATAGTAATCAATATAAATATACCGGTATATGCCTGTTATTGACCAAAATAAGAGCAAAAAAAAAAAAAATTGACACAAATAATGCACTTCTTAATAGTTGATCATTCTGAGACTAAGACATAATTTCTAGAAATCTTTAATAACTATAAGTTTATAACACATAAATTTAAAAGTTTCTGATCATACCTCTCCTACAGAGTTGGCTAGCAAAGAGACAATTTTTTCATGAGGAACTGCTACAACACTCTGATTGTTGATTTCTATAATCCTGTGTCCTACTCTCACTCCTCCCCTCTCAGCTATTCCTCCTCTTAAAAGACTGCAGATCTGACAATGCAATAACAACCTAGTCAGTATTTTTTCTGACTATTATGAAACATACCACTGTGTTCCTACAGGAAATAAATGTTTAAAGTAGAATAACATATTTAATGATTAAATTTCCACTATGATTCTCAAATACATCTACAATCATATTTTAAGATAATTCTTCTGTTACAGTACAAAAACCACTGTACATGTATACATGTACATGAATTCCTGCTTATTTGATAGTTAATATACACATTACAACACAGTGTGCTTACTGCATTAAAATACATATAAACTCAGTATTTTAAAATAAAGCACACTCACTTTTCTCCATCACAATTCTTGGGAAGAAAAACCTGAGCATTATTATTGAATAGCAAACTATACTTGTTCTAACAGGACTAATACCCCAAGGGGGAACTAAAGATAGAAAATACTTTAAAAACCTGGTACAATTAGCTTAAAAAATCTGCCATCTGTCTTATAAAAATTTCAAGAACAACATATTCTCACTGCCTGAATATTGTGGAATTGTAATTTATTGAAAGTTTCACACCTTTGCTTATGAGCAACTTTTGTGCTGCATAAAAAATATGACCATCCAGACCACAGTTCAAGCTCTATAAACATCATTGCCCACTGATCATTCAACTGTTGACTCAGTGACTTTGACATTATAAAAACAACCTGATAGCACAGAATTATGACAGACCTCTTGGTCACAACCTTTGTTCCAAGTCAATGTATGTCCTCTTGATGCTCCCCAATACAATTTGTAGAATTTTCCATTTCAAATACGTTCAGAATCTGACATTTGTGAAGTCTGTATTCTTGACCTTGTCTATAGGACCTTTGAACAGGGTCATGACATATCCTATGATTATAGTCAAACTGATGGCAAATTTCATTACAAAATAAGGTAACGGACAAGAATACTTACTAAGAAATGAGATCTGCTCCAAAAACTTTAACCTGGTCACTCATCAGGAAAATGTAGGTCAGATCCAGCATCCGAAGCAAGCCTGGTAGTGTGCATCCTTAGATGTATCATCCATGCAAGTTTGGTCAATATAAGACTTATATTTACTTGGAAATGAGATCTGCTCCAAAACTTTAACCTGGTCACTCATCCGGAAAATGTAGGTCAGATCCAACATCCGAAGCAAGCCTGGTAGTGTGCATCCTTAAGTGTATCATCCATGCAAGTTTGGTCAATATAGGGCTTATAGTTACTTGGAAATGAGAGCTGCTCCAAAAACTTTAACCTGCTCCAAATACATTAACCTGGTCATTCTTTAGCTGAAATTGCAGCTTTTGAAACCTTCACTGGTACAATGAAACACACTAGAAGTATCCTCCATGCATCTCTGATTAATATAGGGCATAGAGGTACTTGAAAAGAAATCTGCTATAAAAACTTTAACCTGGGAAGCCGAGGCCCAGGGTATTACATAAGCTCCCCAATTTCGTTGAGGTGATTGAGCTAAAAATTAGTGTTCTTTTGAATATGAACCCAGCAATAAAAATTCTGATTATCATTTTTTTTAAAGACTGACAAAGTAACCCATAGACCACGCAACTCATTACAAGTCTGGACTTCAATATTTTTCAGAAAGACACAAATTTTGTGTCATAAAAGTGTATTTTTAAGCCCTTGCTCCATGTTTTTATTGGCAAAAAAGGTATATTTTCAAACATACTATACATTAAGGTATACTTTCAAAAAAAAAATTGAGCAAAAATCCAGTTATACAGAACAAGAGACCCTTGAGCCACAATGCTCACCTGAGTCACTATGGCCCTACTGTTCTTCATCAGCAGATTTTTTCCACTATATATTCCTGTGTAAAACTTTGACTACCTAATGTAGCCCTACCTTACCCCCTGGGGTCATGATTTGAATAATCTTGGATTAACACTACCAGAGTATGATTCCATATTAATATAATTATTCAAACCTTTGTTGTTCTTGAGAAGATCTCTAAAGATTTTTTCCTATATCTTCCTATATTTTTAAAGATTTTTTTTTCCTATATATATTCCTATTGTGGCCTGACCCTACCTCCTGGGGTCACGATTTGAACAAATTTGAGTCTACACTATGTAATGATGCTTTTTTAAGTTTCAACTCTTCTGGTCTGGTGGTTTTTAGATTATTTTATAGATTTTTAAAAGATGCCCCCAAATTTTCAAGAATTCTTAAATATCTCCCCTTGAAAGAGGACGTGGCACTTCCTGTGAACAAACTTATATCCCTCTACCCAAGGATACTTTGTGGCAAGTTTGGTTGAAATTGGCCAAGTGGTTCTTGAGAAGTCGAAAATGTGAAAAGTTCACAGACAACAGACGCCTGATGACAGACGGACACCAGACACTCTTTGGTCAGAAAAGCTCACTTGAGCCTTCTACTTAGGTGAGCTAGAAATTGAATTATAATCAAGATTTTTCACTTTCTTCTCTGTCAAACTATGGGCATTTTTTTTGTTTGTTTGTCAATCTCCTTATGTATAAATGAAAACATACCACCCCATTTTGTACACTAAATCCCAGTTGATACTTGACGTCTGGTCGCTTTATAAGGACCTCAACCACAGGTGCACATGGGACAACTGTTAACTTGACCACAGTCTGGTTTTTACTACTCTGTAAACAATGAATTATGATTTAGCAGACAAAAGCAAGTAATACCTGAAAGCAGGGAAGTTTTTCTTTCAAGGTACATACATGTACATGAATTCTACATCAGTAGTAAGTAAATGGTGGTACATACGCTGTAAACTTAACAAGTTGACATTTGATACCTAAATGCATGTTTGATGAAATTAATGTACATTTGAGTAGCTGGTGTGATAACTAAAGTCTAAAAAGTTAAACTGTGTTTGAAAGATGAAATTTTGTGTGATAGTTTGTTGTAAGTTTGACAAGTTTGGATGATTCCTTAACATGACTTTAAAAGTTGAAACTTGAAATAATGGAACTTTAATGTAAGTTTAAATAATGTATTTAGGTAAGATCACTTCAAGCAACATGAATGGCTAATTTTGTGTAGGAAAAATTGCAAAATTTCCAAGACTTAAAGATGAAGTTGACTCCTATTACTCATACATATGTACCGTATTTGCATTAAAAAAAAAAATATTCAAAGGTTTCCACTGCAAAGTAATTGTCTTTCTTTACAAAAATTGATTTCATATACAGTACTATACATTCATCAGTAAGAAATATGATAAAACTTCGTATTATTGATCACTGCATGAGGTTTAAGTTACATAATAGCACATTTTAAAAGCAACATAAAATTCTCAAAAAATACAAGTCATAATGCATTAACTATACTGTAAACCAACTATTATTTGCAGCAACTTTTATTCCCAATTTGTTTTGTTTGAAATCCATCCAAGACTATTCATTTTCATGACAAAAGGATACAATCTACATAAATACAGAATTCATATATGGTTCATGGTGAAACATACTCACCAAAAAAAGGTCACAAAACTTTGGGATATTTCTTGATCACAAATAAAAGATGGTTTACAGTAAAGGTGTAACACATTACTGTAGGTAGACTGAATATGTGCATAGCCTGGAGTTACACTGACAGGTTGATGTCTTAGTTTGATTAAGCTTGACAAATTCATATAGCAACTTGATGCAAGTGAGATAAGTTGGTATGATAGCTTAATACAAGGCTGACCAGTTGAAATTTGATGTGTTATATTTTAAAACAGTTTAGCAAGTATATGATTGATGTTGTACCTTAATATAAGTCTGACAGGCTGACAAAGGAAGTCCCACCAGACTGATCCCATTGATAGAGATAATCTGGTCCCCAATATTTAACTGGCCACATCGAGCTGCTGGACCTGTGGGGAACATGTTAGCCAGAACCACTGTGGGGACCATGGATCCCCAGCCTGATTCTACTATCACAATTCCAATATTTTCTCCTTTCAATTTTGGCACAATCACCTACAATGAAAAAAATTACATAAAACTTTCAATTTGATTTTCATAAAGTTTATTTTTCTTTTTCATCAGTTTTTTTTCCAAAGATTGAGCTGAAATCAGTGAATACTTTTAGTTGACATTGATGTCAAAACTTTAATATCCTGACAAATTTCATACTGCCACTAAGAAATGAAAATTTCAAAAACTCACAGCAACCACTTAATTTTAAATCAAAAGATATAAGTATTCAGATTACAAAGCTCATCTCAATGAATATTATCTATAAGTAAGACTGAGTCTCACAATAAAAAAAATGTTCTGAAAATTGCATCCCTAAATACAGTATCAACATGAGTTTGATCCAAGTAGGACCTATAGATAATTGAAAATGAGCCCCAAAAATTTTAACAGTACAATAACCCTGTAAATGTAGGTCAGATCTATCTAATAGTGTGCATCCCTAGTAATATGCATATTCAATGCAAGTTCAGTCACAGTTGGGCTTAAAGTTACTTGAGAATGGAGCAGCTTTAAAACTTTAACCTATTCATTCATGTAGGTCAGATCCATCATCTGAAGCAAAACTGGTAATGTGCATTCCTTGATGCACCATGGAAGGATGGTCCAGAATGACATAAACCTGTTTACTCATCTAGATAATGTAGGCCAATTTATCCGGCATCCACAGCATTAGTTTGCATCCATAGATATTTTATCCATGCAGGTTTGGTCCAAGAAGGGCTTATAGTTACTTGGAAATGAATCTGCTTCCATAAATGTAGGTCACATCAAGCATCTGAAACAAGTCATGTAATAAGCATCCCTACAAGCATCATCCATGCAAGGTTGATTCAGGTAGGGCAAAAACCTGTTTACTCATCTGGCTAATATAGGTCAATTTATCCAGAATCCGAAGCAAATCTGAAAGAGTGCATCCCTAGATGCATAATGCATGCAACTTTGGTCCAAATAGGGCTAACAGTTACTTGGGAATGAACCTGCCTCTAAAATTTTAACTTGTCACTTATCTGACAAATTTAGGTCAGATCCAGCATCTGAAGCCAGTCTAACAATATGCATCCCGAGATGCACCATCTTTGCAAGTAGGGCTTAAAGTTACTAGGGAATGGACCTGCTCCAAAAACTTTAAACAATTCAGTCATCTGTAAAATGTCGGTACAATCTAGCATCTGAAGAAAGTCTGGTAGTGTGCATCCCTAGGTAACTAAGTCCAGGTAGGGTTTCAGTTAATTGGAAATGGACCTGCACCAGAAACTTGAACCTGGTTACTCATCTGGAAAATTTAGGATAATCCCAGCATCTGGAGCCAGTCTACGAGTATGCATCCAGAGACGAATCATCTTTGCAAGTTTGGTCTAGATTGGGCTTATAGTTCCTTGGGAATGGACCTGATCCTTGAACTTGGTCATTCATCCAGAAAATGTAGGTCAGATCCAGCATCAAATGCATGTCTGACAGAATGCATCCCTATATACATTATTCATGCAGGTTTAGTCAAGGTAGGACTTACAGCTACTGGAGATTAGACCTGTTCCTAAAACTAAAACCTGACCCCGCTAACACTGACACCATAGCACATAAGCTCATCTCAACTATGTCGAGGTGAGCTAATTAATATCTAAAACAAATGTTGAATTTTAGATAATATGTAATACACTTCAGTATATGACTCATCCTTTCATGAAAATTTGTTTGCATATATAGCCATATATGTATATACATATTTTTTTAAATCAGTCATCACCATCAACAACACAATCACAGACAACAGCAAAATATAATCAGAGATTGATACATACAATAAATCTGACTGTTCCAACTAAACACAACTCCGCCATTATCCTTTTTTACAAATGATTATATAACTGCAGCTCTACATGCCATTTTATTAAAAAAAAAGATATTTTCCAAAATACTGTTCAGTATAGGCAAACTGAAAATTTCCATTACCTCCAGTATTTTGTCCTATCCTTTTTTTTTTATCCACAAGAATCTATTATAGTACAAAAAGCTTTAATTTCTACCTGAATGTGCTGAGTTTTATTAAAGTTTCCCATTAGCTTAGCAGTAAGTATAAACCTGTTATTTTTTATTCAATCAATAAGTCCACTGATGCCAAATTTTCCCTTTCTATCAACATGACAACAGGCCCCTAGGGGATCTGAAAATGAACGAAAGATGCAAAAATTGAAACAGCTAATGCTTAATATACTGACTGGGCAGGTGACCTCAGAAAAAAATGCCTTATGAGAAAATGCTTTTAAAACTATTGAAAGTATTTCCATGATAAAAGAATCAATATTTCATATTCCAACTAACGATTCAAAATACAGAAAAGATACTTAATGTAAGACTGATTGACATGAGAGGAACTGATATTGGCAGAAATGAAAGAACAACCTTTCCCAACATCAAATATAGATGAAGCTTTCAGATGCCATTAACCTATAATAAAAAATTGAAGCCTCAACCTTTTATTCACATTTTTCAGAGTTTTTCTTAGTATTCAGCACTGTCTAGATACTGGTTAAAGCTTCAATCACTCAATGTTGATTTTAGGTATCAAGAACAATAAAAGATACAAAATCCGTTGGATTATAAAACCCAATCCCACCAGATCAATGTCTTTTCTACCTACAGGAATCCATTTAATACTTCCTGAAGCTCAGTTATCACTGTCATTTATGTGAAAAGACAGATTTTCATTTCCTGCCACAGAAGTAATGATAGTAAGGATAGTGTTGCAAGAATACTTTCCTCTTGAATATAATCATCATAAGAAGTAATGAATTAATAATCATCTTACATCTATTATCTTCAACTGGGATGGGATCAATTACATTCAAAATAAATCAATTAAATTATAATTAGTTTGGATTTTTAAAGTAATCAATTACAAGCTGATTACAGCCTTTTTTTTTTCAAAGTAAAAGATTACATCTGAAAAAATTCACTTGTATAGTTAAAAGATTTACATAGCATAGCATACATGTTGAAACCAAAAAAGTTGAGCTTTGAAATGACCCTGAAGTAATTGCCTGAAGTATATGAATCTAGTGCCACACTAGGTGAATTGCTAAGAAGAATGTGCAAGGTCAGTGGGTCTGATTATAAAAATTCTTAAGGGCAACAGACGAAGATATAGCTATATACAGCCTAAAAATTTCATAATAATTTTTCCTTATAAATAAATTTGCAGAATGAGAAATATTCACTGAATATCATAAAAGACCACGATTTTATGCACTTCTTTTTAGCTCACCCGAGTCGAAGGCTCAGGTTACCTTTTTTAATCAAAATTTGTCCACTGTCTGTCATTGTTGTCATTGTTGTTGTCATTGTCATAAACTTTTCACATTTTCATCTTCACCAGAACAACTGGGTTAACTTTAACCAAACTTGCCACAAAGCATCCTTGGGTAAAGGGGATTCAAATTTGTTTATATGAAGGGCTACATCCTTTTTCAAGGGGAGATAATTAAGAATCAGTGAAACATTAATAACATCTTTTAAAAATCTTCTCAAGAACAGCAATGCCATGGCTAGCTATAGTCATATTTATATGAAAATATCCTCAGGTAATATAGATTCAAGTTATTTAAATTATGACCCCTGGGGTAGGGTAGACCACAATGGGCAATAAAAGTTTAACATAGGAATATATAGGAAAAATCTTTTTTTCAAGAACAGCAAAGCCATGATTAGTCATATTTATATGGAAGCATCATAAGGTAGTGTAGACTCAAATTTGTTCAAATCATGACATCTGAGGGTAGAGTGGGGCCACAATGGGCTATCAAAGGAGAAAATCTGCTGATGAAACACAGCAGGGTCATAGTGACTCAGGTGTGGGTTGTCACCCAGTGACCTCTTGTTTACCATTGTAATCATAATCAAAAAGTAATCATGATTACAAGACTTTTTCTCAGTTAATTGATTAAATTACAATTACTTGTAATAAAAAAAAAATGATTGTCAATGTTAATGATTGCAGATTACTCATGATTACACAACAAACTGTTATCAATTATGGCTGATTACCCCATCCCTTATCTTCAATTACAAACTGCAATAGTCTGGATTTATTGCATTGAAAACTTGCTTATGAAACACTTAACCTATAGTACCAAGACTACACACCACTACCCATCATATAAAATGTACCTCCATCCTCAATAAAGTTTGTACTGTTAGAATAATGAAGCTGCTACTTAAATAAGAATCTACCACCAAGTTAGAAAATTGGAGGGAAAAAATACCCACAAAATTTCAATAAAATTTTCAGGTGATGTTGTTATCAATTGAAATATAACTGGTTTATGTGGAAGAATTCTTTATTGATTTTTGCCTTTTACTTTTATTCAAAGGTATCCAGAGCCAAGGAGGTGATTATTTTCCCCTCAATGGATCATTCAATTAATCATTTTATTCATATATATACCCAACAATGCCACCCCCTCATCATTATATGTCTGGAGATTAGTCTAACCTTAACAAATAAATACAACCTGTAACATCATTCAATATTTCTCCTTGTTCAAAATAGCTATCTTTTAATTTTCTTTTGTTGCTTTTTTTGTTTTTGTTTTTGTTTTGTTTTGGTTCTTCCATTCAAATAAATATAGCAATACATAAAGCCTTCAACTCAAACTTTTTCAAGTATTAAATAGTTTTCCCCTTTAATTCAAGGCATGGTCAAGAAATAAGCTTACGATGCACAATGATGTCATTAAAAAAAACTATCTAGAACTTCATGAATGCATAAAAAATGTGGACTGTTTAATTATCACCAAAGTCTTCTCTTTGAATTTCAGTTTCCATAAACATTTATACTAATATTAAGTATATATTAATGCATCTGTAGTTTACTAGCTAACAAATTCTTTTCCATGATTCTGTTTTTTTTTCTTTACCTCTTTCTGACGTTCCTTGTTTGAGAACAGGTTGAGTTCCTCTCCATAAATTTCTTGTTGGTTCAGAACTTCTTGATAGTCTATTTCTTTCATCAAAGAAGGATCCTCAATACCATTGGCTTTCAGGAATTCCATATAAGCCACCTGAAAGGCTTGTCCTATGGACTGGGCTATCAGCTGGGCCTGTAAATATTAGTCTTTCATTCATAAATCTAATAACACAGAATTTCATGAAAAATTAGTGAACTAAGTTGAATTTCATTACTTAGTTTCAAGTTACAATGTTAAATTTAGTCGTATAGTATGAAATGTAATCTAAAACTAGAACTGATTACTTAACCTCTTAGGGGGAAAAAGAGGAGAGACTCAACAGATATCAAGACAAATTCTGTTTCCTTGTTTTTTGCAAAACACTTTGTTTTTCCTTTATGACCATAGTCCATAAACTTTTATCTCTAAATATACATTATCACAGCCAAATTTAAACTGTATTATAGTATTATCATAACTGCATGTAGTCACTTGATAAATGTAGAAATATAATGCAAGAAGGATTTCTACAAGGAAATAAAAAATAGTACAATATGACAGATAATGAATTATTTATTTAAAACTAAGTACTTACTTCTATCTTTCTTAATTTATCACTCCTATTGATTTAGTTTTGTTTTGTTTAGGTTAAAATCAAGTTTTCTTCCTTTTTTATACATGAGTAAAATTTGAAAATACTGAAAACATATTATATGTGGCTGTGTATTCTATTTAGTTCCTATGGTGGAAAGGAGCTTCTGCGAAAATCAAGTACATTGCTAAATGTCTTGCACATATAAACCTGAATATAAACATTCACATATGCGCTAAATCAAATGCAAATATTAAAACATCAAATTCCACCAAATATGGTACATGCTGAATAATATAATACATTTACATATTTTATTTGAAAAATATGTTTGCATTCCCAAAAACTTTTTAAATGAAAAAAAAAATTAGGTTCAGGCTTCCACATCAAATGACTTGAGAAGCCAAGACATTGTTTTCTGCATTTAAAGGTTTTCTGTTGTTTTTTTTTTAAGTCTGTGAATGTTGATAGGTTAAAAGTTTTGATGCACATTTTGTTAAAAAAAAAAAAAAAAAACTCTACACAAATTTAATTCCAAAAGATTCCCTACCTCTTGTTGAGCTTCATAAATAACATCCAAAGGTTCATATTTAGTTGTATTATAAGTACCAAGTTTCACATTACCCCCAATAGCAAACATATTTGAAGATGATGTCCCAGATTCAAACATGATCGAAACCTTATTGAATTCACTCTCCAACATCATAACATTATAACATAAAATTGAGCTGTAGATATTTCCACCCTGTCTATGTTTATATCAGCTCAGAATCCTTCTCCAGCATTACACGTGCCAATGCTTTCTACGTAAACATTATCACAGCAAACTCTAAACTTTAAATCCTCATTAAAGCATGGGTTTTGCCTATTTGTTGCAACTTGCTAAATTATTTTCCATCAACATCCATTGCAAAGTGAATCAGTTGAGAAATAAATTACTAGTCATTCTTAATGCATCTCTAAAATCAATACAATCAATGTTTATGGAGTCAAGTGAAAGTATACATTATATGATTTGTGCAACACAGGAACAAAACAAGCCATGCCTCACTGAACAAAATAATCACCCTGCTGGCTCTTCCTTCATTTCAATAGCCATTTGAAAACTGAGATTTTATTTATAATGTGCATTTATTGATTTTGATAGAATATTATAGGTTTACTACAGATTCCTCTGAACCCTGATATCTTTTTATTTTCCTTTTGTAGCTTAAATATGATATATACAGTAGTGATGGGAATCGGTAAGAATTTCACAATCGATGATCGGGTTACTGTAACTAACTAATTATCAATTATAATTGGACATTTCCAATTTCTTTTAATTCATTTAATTAAATGTAAGAATGGGTAAATGACTACTTTCTGTGGTGGTCCAGCGGGTCCTTCATTCCTTTTGTAGAACCCAAAGTACATCCAAATCCAAGAACGTGCTTTGTTACCAAGGTATGGACACAATTCTGCACCATTACAATACACAAATAAAGTAACAGATAAGTCAGGGCTGGAATATTTGGCTTAAAAACTATTATGCTTGTAAAAAAAAATAAATAAACCGATTAATCAGAATAAAAATTTTGTAACTGAGTGCTTGGATTATGTCAGCAATCGACTGATTTTCAATTATAATCGATGATTGGAACACCACTATGCATACATTCTATGTTTGATTGTTTAAAAAATCTTATCAATTTCATTCCCTTGCATTTTGAGAATTGTGAAAAATAATATACACATTACTGGTAACATTTATGACAAACCAAGTAGAGAATGGAATTGAAAATTTATGCATTAAAAACGGAAGCCATGCAAGGTCTCCATTATATTGGTATAAAATTCTTTCTCATTATTCTAAGATGCATTGCTATCCCAAATCTATTACGGTAATCAAAGCTATAGGGAACTGAATTAAATCATGTAGTTTAAAAATTGCCATGGGTGCATTCCAGATCAGAGCAGCTACATAGATATGCATAGAGCTATCATCTTGACTCATATGCTAGATTAGCTGTTAATTAATACAGCTTATTCAACTGCCTCACAGCCTAGGGTAGCTAACTGCTACAATCTTGAATGCTGTTCAGATCTTACTCCTAATACATGTCATGAGCATTTCATATCTACATCTTTGTTTTGTTTGTTTATTGTCAATTGTCAAAGATTACAGCTAAAATATTTGTACTGGCTTTTAACAGTTTGTCTAATAAATCTTAACTTATAACTCATGAACACAAACAAAATTTCAAGATCCTTCTTGGGATCCATTATTTTAATATGTAAGAATCCTTATATTATGATGCTTGTATATTTATATGACTAATCATGGTGCTGCTGTTGTTGAGAAGAAATTTTTAATAATTTTTTGCTATACATTCCTATGTAAGATTTTGATAGCTCATTGAGGCTCTACCCTTCCCTTGATTTAGTTTGAAGAAACTTGAATCTACACTACACATAATCTGGCCCAGTGGTTGAGAAGCTGCTATAGTATGACCCCATCATATTTTTGCCTTCTCTTTATTTCGCTTGGCCCTTTATTTGAAGAAACTTGAATCCTCTTCACCAAAGGATATATATACTTTGTGAGTTAAAATGGCCCAGTGGTTGTGGAGAGAAAGATGAAAGTGTGACAACAAGGCTGATAGTTTTTCTTTTATATTCATATATAAACTGCTTCTAAAATATAAATTCTTATGTTGTTTAGGACCGCTTGTAATGCTTATTGTATGCATAATTACTTGGAAATCTTCATCCAAAACAAACACAGAATGAACTTTTCACCTTGGATTACACTAAAAAAAGGATTTGGTTGTTATGTCTGATTGTTCTCCTCCCTTGAGTCTAACATTAACATTATTTTTACTGCCCAGCTATGATGCTGGTATAAAATAACTATGCTCTCTCCAATACAGTGTAGTCTTTGACCAATTTTCTGTAATATATGAAATCAAAGTACTGTATAATGGAGGCATGAGAATTTAAAGTGTTTCAATAAAAAATATTATAAATATATATTTACATTCTTAAATTTCTTTGTCCGAGATAAAACTACAATTAGTAAAAATACTTGATTTCTGCATAAAGCTACAGGTTTATCGATAGACGTGTTTTAAAAATCATGTGCGGGGCAGGACAGAGAGAGACAGAAGTAGATGGGGCTTGTAGCATGTGAATTTACTGAATCAAGAACATGTAAATATAAGGAATAACTGTAAGATTTTTTGGTTTCATGACAATGATCAAGCAATTGGCTTGCGTGATAATTTTATGCATAAACGCCTTCGGCATTTATGCAAATTATCACGCAAGCCAATTGCTTGATCACATCATGAAACCAAAAAAATTAGACTGCATTACTAGCACATTGACTAGCATTATTTTTCATAGGTATTTATGTTTGAAATTAATCTAAATTTTTTAGTTCTCCAAAATAATTTTTGTGTTTATTGCTTCCCTGAACATAGTCACTCTTTATAAAGGAAAACAATTAAGTCATATGTCTTGTGAATTCACTATAATTATACAATTTATAAGGAATCTATTATATACAGAAATTACTAATTACAGACATAGTGAAGTAAATTCACAGGTCCCCAGGAATTCTCTATAATCAAGTTTTACTGTAATAATTAAGTAAAATGTTTTTTGTCAAACATCAATTGCCAGTCCATGTGCTTTTCACTTTTTAACAAGTAGCAGATGAAATTAACCATACTTTATATTCATTACATTTTGAACAGCAAGAAGTCCCTCCCTTGGCTAAAATCTGTTAATAAATACTAAAGCAAAGACCCCTTGTGAAAGTGACAATAACATATGGGACCATTAACATGGAGTCTTCAAACACACCATGGTTCTACCGGAGCACCATTACTCTTTATATGATCTCACAAATAAGGATGTAAAAGCTGATGGAAGGTTCACTGTGTTCAATAAAATTAGAACATGAATCATCCCCATGACAGGTATCTGATGAAAGAGCCTGATGACAAGAAACTGTATGGATTTTCAATTACAGTAGTTTATAAATCAATACTGAACAGTAACATAATAATCTTGATTGTCTGATCATTATCATTTGTTAGACTTTTCACCAGGTACATTGATTTATATTATAATGAACATGCAGATAGGCTTGGGAATAACCAATTTTTTAAACATGTGGCCCACAGACCTTAACAGTCCCTGTCATAAGGCAATTTTGAGTTAAACATAATACACATATAATATGTTGTTGTTTTTTTCTATTTTATCTACTCTTTACAGCCTTCGGTTTCCCCATTCGGTCCTAAGGAAAGATAAAACAGGCTACAAGAGGTCATTCTGTTATCAATTCCACAATCTTTAATAGGATTTAAATATTGCATGACCACTGTTATGGCATATATTGTCGACATCCATAAATTGTCCTTGGAGAAAAATATAAATCTAAGTTGACACCACACATTGTAAGTAGGATATATTGTCAGCATGATTACATGCGACTGTGACCATCCAAAAGAAGCACCATACATATATTATGACAAACATCAAGAATGAACAAGAGACCCTGGGCCACAAT